GTTGGTAGGGTGAAGAGAAAGAGGAAAAGAGGTAAGAAGAAGAGAAGAATGTACCAAAACAAACTCTTGCAGCAAAACCTTAACAGTGTCACATGTATTAAACGCCTGATGGTGCAATATAACCAACGATGTCGTCATTTAAGTGAATTCCATCATATCGAAGCGTCAGAGATACACAATAGCGTTTGAGCAACTTATTTCATTCAAGATCATTGTCTTTTCTTTGAAAACATGCTATCCCCCTGATCCGACCTGTCAGAGGCCGTTATGGTTGCTACAATTTGTCCTCCCTCCTGAACGGACACATTTACCGGACTTTTTTCTCTTGATTGCGCGAAGGGGTCACGACCATCCATTGGATTGAATCATCTGGGCCAGAACCCTTCATCCGCCCAGTCAACGTAATTAAAGCGGATCAAGGTGGTTGTGGAATGATGGAGAATTTTTGAGAGGCCCACACATTTCATTGTTTATTTACCAGCCTTAAAATCACCTCAACCAACGAGGGCTGAATGATGCCTTTATTACAGAATAAGTGAATGTGTGAAAATTAAAGACATAGAGAACAGGTATGAAGAAAGGCCTGCGGGAGGTTACAGCATCTTTCCAGGCTTTTTGAGCACCTTCTGACTGCCTGACAGCTGCTTTAACCGAAACGACTCCGAAGGTGCGAGTTGAGTGGGTCCCAGAAGGGAAGCATGAAGAGGGCTAGCTTGACCCCGCCGGGTTGAACTCTTCCGACCAGACGAATTGGTGGTCCCAAATTGTTGTTGGAGGGACCTTCATTTGGTATGAAAGTGCACGAAGACGAGATTCGTTGGTCGATCTCACCAGATGAGGACGGATGAAACTCGTGGTACTGCACTTTCATACGAAATGAAGATCCCTCTGACAATGTTATCTCAGTAGATTCATCGAAACCCAGTTTCTCTTCGTATCCCCAAATTGTTGGTCCCAGCTTTTCGGGCATAAGCCCGAGCATAAACCGCGTTGAAAAGGTTACCGTGTGCACGGCGCAGACGTTTGACTGAGGAATTCAGGACGGACGATGACTGTTGCCTAGGCTGCAAGCTGCTGTGGCTCGTCTACAGAGGTCCGCTGAAGCGGAGGGAAAGAGGGCAAGTGGTAGCTACCGTTTTGAGTGGATCTGCGATCACTTTTGGCTCTAAGAAAGGCTTCGCCTGGGTTATTCCGAACGATTAATGAACGAGGCATTTTCTTCTCTACTGCTTAGGATAAAGTAGTGAGTATCAAAAATCGGAAAGTTTCCACTTTAGCCGTTCATTACGTACAAACAGTTGTACGTAATTTGGCTTCACAGGAGGACTTCCTTACAATTTGGGCTGCTGAGTTTAGAGTAACTTTGGCCGGCTCAAGCATTTATGAATGCAGAAGTCTTTACTGGTTTGATTTCCAGACAGAAGACTGGATAAAGTATAGAGGTTGTTGGACCTCGTTTTCCCAACATGGTCATGATGGTAGGAAGACTTAGAGGAATGCACCTAGTCCGGGGTACATTGTCTGCATGATCATTTCCAAAGTCGGACCGTGGACGTGGTACATTCCCAAACGTTTCGCCGACATCGCCATTCTTTGGGAATGTACCGACTTTGGAAATGATGATGCATAAAATGGACTCCGGACTAAGTGCGTTCCTCTAAGTGCTCCAACTAACATGACCAAGTTGCGAAAACAAGGTCAAACAACTCGTATACAACGAAAGGAGACTGCCACCACAAAAAAGGCCACACCATCTTGGTCCTCATACCTTCGACTGGATAAAGTAGTTTAAAATATATATTTTGCAGAGCGCGAAGACTTTCTCAACGAGAAAGTCAGCGAATAAGACGATCGGTAGGCGTAAAGTGATCGCTTTCCTTTCTTGGCATGCCAAATTGCGATTCTATTTCTATCGAGTTTCATATGGCGACGGCATACTTTGGTCTCCGACCTTGTGGATTAAACGGTCTACACCCAGAAAAACTCCGTTTAGGGCTGTGCCACCACGTGAAAGACGTGGGAAAGAGTAGCCAAGAAAGAGGGTGAAAATGTCAGAGACAGCATTCGGCATGTGCCAGCTGAGTCCGGCAAAACAACGTACCGATTTCTTTATGATGCTTCGGTTCTTCTTTGTAATTGTAGTCCTTCGACTCTCGATACCATTTCTCCGTAAGAATACCACCTAAAATGGATAATACACATCGTTTATTGCATGCTGTATCATCTACTAACTGTATGTAGTGACCCATCCCTATTTTTTCTCACTTCACCTATTAGCAGCTTTACACGACTTTAAATAAACCTTCCGACACTAGTCCTTTTCAAACTCGAACCACTTACGAACATCTCTCATCCTGGCTCGTGCATTACAATCTTACATCAATCACATTCGCGCCATCCACACACAACTCATATGATTATCATTCCGATCAATCACATCAATTATAAGATGTATTCACACAATTTCGTTTAAGGTGATGAAAGACTGGTAGAAGTAGAATTTTCCCACAAATGATATGAGTTGGACTGA